ACTAGCTTATAACGTATACTAAATTTTGTTCAAAATTTCTACGGAGGTTTTTGGGGATAATATATTGATAGTAAAAAAAATTATATGAATCTTCAGACGTAGATAATTTCTAGGGTTCAATATATTGGCTCGAGCTCTAATGATCACGTTTTGTCATAAGAGCTCTCTCTCTACAACAGACATAAAAAGGAGATACCCTAGTAAATAGCTTAGACACTACTTAAAATTATCTTACTAAGATCTTATTATTTAAGATCTTAATAAGTTCTCAGCGAATCTCGAATGAATATACTGCTTGAAAAACGTCAGCGTTCTTAATATTAAGATCCTAGTGGATTCTTATCCAATCTTGAAAAACCTTAGACAGTATAATTTTAGTATGATCTTAGAAAAATCTTGTCAAATCTTAGAATTTTCGGGTCTCACGATCTTAGTAAGATTTATCTAAGATCTTAGAGAAATTTAAGCGAAATCTTACTAAGATGTTAATAAGATTCGATTAAGTTTCTCACTAGGGTAAGAAGAAACCTGTGAAACATTATACCACCATGTTGAAAAGTATGACATACAGATTTTCTACCGCGAGCAATCGTTTAATGATGATAGTTTTAACAATATAAACCTGAACACACAGAGAAAATATTTTTGAGTTTAAATGAAAAAGAAAAGGAGGACCATATGACATTGATAATCAGCCTGTTTTTTTTTGATCCCAAAACGATTCCATTAGTAGTAAAAAGATATTTTTATTCGACTCTGAGTAAACTCGCTAAAAACATTCTATAAGCAAACTTAATTCGTTCAATAAACGGTCACGACTCTTGAATGAAATATCGTGGAGAGTAGCCTGGCATCTCGTTCTGTAGAGATCAGTGCTCAAGTGAACCACGTCTTGTAAGATCTTGTAAGATCTAATGTTTTCTTGTGACTTAAAACTTTTTTCTCTTTTCAACTTCACACGTCAACTGAGCACATATAAAGTGCACGGTTAAGAAATGTGACAAAAGATGCTCCTACGGTCGCCTGTAAATGTTAGAAATTATGTAGAAAGCGAAAATTGCAGAGGTATAGAGAGATTAGGCAGGAAATGATTAAGCATATGATCTTGTAAGATCAGATGAATTCTTATAAAATCATATAAAAGATTGTGACTTCTTAAAAGGCCGTATAATTTCTTATAACTTCTTTCTGTAAGATCTTATAAGATTATACAAGATCTTGTAAATTCCTATCATAAGATAAATAAATCTTGTAAAATCTTATAAGAATCTTGCTACAAGATGTCATATGAAACCTTGCTACCACCTGTCATATGAACTTGTAAGATTTTATAGGAAACTGATAAGAATTTATAAGATCTTCTGAAATCTTCTGATTTCTTATCATATGATCCTGACTTCTAAGAATTCCTGACTTCTTGGAGAAGAGAAATTTTGTTTTTCTGGAAATCTCAACTTTTAAAACAGTTTGAGCGAACTTTTATACATGTCTCATTAGATAGGAAAACGTTTTCGCTACTCAGCTCCTCATATGGAATTCTTTTAGCGTTTATGATTGATAGAAAAAGAAGTTAAGATAAGTCATTTTGATCATTAAATATATGGTTTCTGAAAGTAGAACTTAAAATTCCGGTGGTTATCTCAAATGGTAGAGGTTCCCTTTAAATACAAAATTCTTAATTTCATTGAATAGTTCTAATTTATCAACCCACATTATGTAATAGTCATCGAAAAATATAATAATACTAGCTTTAATCATCATATGGTAAATATATCCTTTGTTGATAAATTACTATTCTACGATGAGTGGTTTCATTCAATTGTAATCTTCTTGATTCATTTCCTTTTTTAGGATAAAATTAGACCATTATGGAGAGCTTATTTCGGTAATACAGATGGTAAGTATAATTTTTCTATTCACAACAGAAAGGAACAGTTACTGATACATTCTTGTTTTATCAGAGTCAGTTAACTTTTCAGAACTCTGATATGCATCCAGATCGCTATTGTCTATTTATATCGGTTTTTAGTATATATTGATAGTTTTTTGTCTTTTTACGTTTTTTAAGAAACATAATATATTAAATACAATTGAAAACACGTTAAGTAAAGGCATTTTACAATTTTGATTACCCTATAAAATATTATATAATATATAATACTTTAACAGATATACATAGAGAATTGGCCTACAATGACATATCTTTAAAGACTATGATATTCTAATCATCTCTTTTCTAATTAAAGTTGCCTAGTCAAGTTTTTGTATATATAACTTATCTCTCTTTTCCCATTTCACTTCCAGTTATATGCCTGATAATGATACTAGATTAGTATCGAAAGCTCGCAAAAATTGTAAAATGCCTTTACTTAACGTGTTTTTAATTGTATTTTAATCCAATGTGTACTTCTAAGTGTATTCTTACTATAATTTGACAACAAAATCATTTTGTTTCTAAGTATGCTTACTGGAAGAATCATAACCATACATAAGATGAACATTCTGACCTTAACATGAAGTTAACCATGGGACCTGTGTTCATATAACATAAAAAATCATTTTTTCACTCCTGGAGGTATTTTTCTTCAATGTAAAAGTTTATTCAGAACTAAAAGCATCATATTATACGTACTTTTCCTAAAAACTCAATGGTTTCAATGAAACTTTTGCTGAATGGATCCCAGAACAAAATTATAAAAATTAGTTGTTTTTTTCTAAATACTATGGAATCAAACATGCTGCAATTCGCCATGAAATTTAGATCATAAGTGTGATCTGTACGTTAAGACAGATTGAATTGCATATGGTCTGAGACTATTTGAATTTCTTTTTACATACGATTTGGAACTACTTTCAGAAAAAATTTCATTGAAAACTTACCGTTTTACGAAAAGTATATTCTAGTCTGTTTTGGCTTAGAAATTAAGAATATAGTTTTTATTTTAAATCAAAATACTTGTGGGACGGAAACAACGAAATTTTCTTTCATTTCATGAAATATAAAGTTAATTCATCATTTAAAGCATGTTGCCAATTTCATGTTAATATGAAAAATATTCGCCTATGCAATGTCGTGATTTCTTCCTGCAAGCAACACTATTTATTAAAAGTGTTCTCTAGTCAAGTATTATATTAGTTAATAGGTTTTAGGAGTTTAATTTTTATATGTGCTATTATTTTAAAATCGGCATATCAGGCATGCACTACACTGTAAGGTAGAAAATTATTTATGGAAAATGCTCGGCGAATTTCAAAGAGTACCTATAGGAATTCCTCGAGGATTTTCCAGTTTATAGAAAATCGAATTTTCAACAATCTAGAAAATCGTCCTTGAATTTTCATAAATAATTTTCAAGAATCTAGAAATGCCCCCCTGAATTTCCAGTTTGTTAGAAATAATAAGTAAAAATTCCGTTTTGATTTTCTGTAAACTGGAAATTCTTTGACACCAGCACCGAGTGGCGGTGCGACCAAGTTGTGTTGAGGTTGATCCCGCTCCCTCGTGCTTTTGAGCAATTTCTGATGAACATCTCCGATTTTGGGATCTTCCTACCGAAAATTTGTACCACCACTGTCGCTGCCTAAATCAAAATTCTTGCTGGCATAGACAGAATTGTGATCTAAAGTAGAAACTGTCAAAGTTGATTTAAGTATAATATGAGTGTCTTTACGTGACGCTCTTATACCCACACTGATAGCAAAACAAGCAAGATGAATAATCCTTAGAAATTATTTATAAAATTCGATTGATTTTCTATAAACTAGAAAATCAACATTTTCTAGAAAACTGAAAATTCGTCGAGGAATTCCTATAAACTAGAAAACCCCGGCGATTTTTCGGTCGATTTTCTATAAACTGGAAATTAAGTCAAGATTACAGTGTAGTGTCGTTTTAGCTTATTCTTATTGACGAAAGTGCTCTGCATCATAAAGGCATTATTCTGTATGAAAAAAATGATGAGACTATTGAATGCTATTGAGACATAAGCTAGTGCATCTACTGGTCAAGAAATTAAGTCAATGTTAGGGCATGCACCGGCTAAAAACCGATAGTTTTATCTTTTTTTCACGAACAAATTGTATGAAAAACATCTTATATTAAGTTTTATTGACAACTGCGTTTGTTTGCACAGTCAATTTTCTGTTTGTAATAAGAAGTCAAGAATAAAAATGTGAATTATAATTCTCAAATTTATATACGACCTTTTGCCATATTTCACTGATTCATTTCTCACGTGTTCTATTTAAATCAGTAAAATTAATGATAAGATCGCGTGCTCGTTAACTAATTGTTTATTATTTCAATGTGTTTGTAGGGCTCATATTTGTTGTTGATACTAATGATCATGAAAGAATTAACTTAGCACATGATGAGCTTTGGAGCATATTAACTCTAGATGCATTAAAAGACACCGTTTTATTAATATTTGCGAATAAACAAGTAAGTGACTGGCTTTGCTTATTAGTTTGATTAATGAGTAAATGAATTAAGTTAAAACCTTCGTCAGGTGGTGGAAATTCAGACTTTGCAGCTTTTTCCTTTTTTGATATAGTCGAGAACGGACGAACGAAAAGAGAACGGTTAACATTGTTTGGAGAACGGGTTTTTGAATTTGTATGTATGATTCATATGTGATATAGTCTCCTATATATTCTCATGAATTTCCAAATTATCGAATCAGTAAAATGTACATGTTATTCAAAAAAAGTCAAAAATCAAGAAGTAAATTTCGCAACAAAAACGAAATAACATGTTTCGATGTATGAGATAACGTGATTTATTTCACCGATGCCAAGCGTGCCTTCTTTGATCGATCTCGTTTTCTAGCAAAGTTTTCTAATTTTGACGGATCTGTAACATGATAATATCCAAAATGCATCATTATTCGCAATGCATGTTTACAAACATAAGTTTTCAAGTTTTGTTTACGATTACATATTAACGGAACTGTAACGAGACGACCAAAAAATAACCAAATCGAAAAATCGTGAAATATAGATCATGGCATTAACGAATATTGTTGTAGCCATGTTGCAGCATTCATTTTACTTGGGTGAGATAATGGAATGACAATATTATTTATATAACAAGGTAATAACGAATTTTTATCCAAATCACGTAGCCATTTCCAAGCAGCTGCTTCTGAAGATGCATCAATATTTGGAAATGTTCTAAATCCAACACCTTCAGATTTATGAGACCAGTCCTGCAGCATTGTAACGACGGTTGGCAAAAACGATGATAATTTCAGTTTACTCCGAAGAGTATATGTTTGCTTTATTTTGCCATTCAAGCTTTCCAGACCATTGTTTGTACTTGGCATACCCTGTCATAGTATGAAGGTAGATGCGAATACAACAGAAAAATATCTCATGTTCACTCACCATTGCTGCACCTTCATACCAAAATTTCAATGTATTCACCCAGTGTTCTTCAAAATATTTAGCAAAAACATGCAAATCCTAATCATCTCTCCATTTTTTTAACAACAGTTTTATTCCTACATCAAATACACATCACCAAATGCAAGTTGTAACGTACAGATATCATTCTCAATATCAGGCCATTTATCTCTGGGAACCATCTTCCGATGTTCTCTGCATTTGCATAATGTATGCGCCCAGCACATCAGACGCTTGGCTGTAGGAAATTCACACTGTTGAGCAGCAGTAATACCTTTCGGCTTTTAGAAGAAAATGTTTGAAAATGTTAAAAGTGTCGTATACTCGTATAAAGCTGTTGTGCTGGATCACAAAATATATTACATATGCAAAGCATATGCGGCACATATCCCTGCACATGCTCGTTGGACTCATCGTAGCTGATAACCTGAGATACATAGCATGCTAGCATAAAAAATATAAAGTAATTACAAAAAGTCTAATTTTCTTGTCTAAGATTGTCGTTTTTATCAGTCAACATCCTCTGGTCGAAGCTGTGGCGAGGAACATGTTCATAGTGCAATTACGTTTCAGAAAAACACTAAACAAGATTGGACTTTTTGCAACAACCCAGGTCCGTGATTTCGGCGATCGTTCCGTTGTCAGAATCGGTCGTTTCCGGCGTTGATCTGGTGCATTTCCGATCGGTAACGGCACAGATTAACGCCGAAACTGGATGGAAGTGCACCGGATCTTTGCGACCGGAATTCGCACCGAATTAACGCTATCTTTTTTCTGCCAGTTTCCGGTGGTCGGTTCCGGTAATACATAACATAAGAAAACGAAAAAAAAGTGCGTAGTCCTGCACTGCACGGATTCGCACCGCGCCCAGTGGACATAGCATACATATAGATTGCGTATCTGTGGCTTATCCTACTAAGCTATCAGGTCTACATATACTTGTCGATGATTTGGCTCTATATATCGATTAGACACTGTCATCTACTTTACAAAGTAAGAAGGCGATACTGGGAAAAAGGTTCAAAATTTGTAACTCTGCTCTGTAAACACAGGGTGTAAAGTGTGTATGTTTTACACTCGATGACTTTCTGAAATGTTTCGTATTATAGAAACGATGAGAAACTGTTGCCACACGTATGCCGCACACTGTAAAGGCCACTTAATGACTTTCTCGTCCGTTTTTAACAAGAAAAAAAGTTACTATCAGGTTACGCCAAAACGATACGTTCGCGCCAAAATGATATGTTCGCGCCAAAATGCGAAAAGTGATCTGAATAAAGAGATACTTTGCTGCCCGTACATTCATTCAATAAGTTATTCAGAAAAGAAATTGGACCGATTCTGTTCAGCGTAAAAAAAGTCGATTTTGCGATCATGGTATTGCATCAATATATTTATAATCGAAACAAGAGAAAGAGAAAAATGACAATACTCTAATTCGTTAAAATAGTTGACAGACATTCATTTTGGATCTAACGAAATTTGTTTTGATGTTGTTCTTGTCTTTTTTCTCAGGATATGCCAAATGCAATGAATTGTTCAGATGTAGCCGAAAAATTAGATTTAAACTCATTACGTTGTCATAAGTGGCATATTGAAGGAACATGTGCAACAAGTGGAACAGGAATTTACGAAGGGCTTGATTGGCTTTCAAACGAATTAAAAAGTATTAAATGTTAATCAAAGTTGTTAGTCTATAAAACTAACTAAAATATTTTTCTGCATCGATGCCAGTAAGCTGAGGACAGATCTGAAAGGGATTGACCGCATCGAATTACGATAACTAGGGAATTAAGATTCATATGAAACTATCAAAACTTTCTAAAGAAAGGATACAGATGGGCCTATTTGAGGAGTCCAAATGTCTGATAGATAGATGCATATATTTCGTAACAATTTTAATATGATAAATGCCTCTGTTCCTAGGTCAGTTGTTCTAGTAAGGTATTAGAAAACTCAACAAAATACAACTGTAAATGTGTGTTTTTTTTTTAATGCAAACGTTTACTGAGATGGAATAAATAATGCTACTTAGTTAAACTCTATGGTATTTCAACATGTTACAAAAACATCTTATTTGTAACCAGGAATTTCTTCAATATCTGTTTAAAAATCTAACAACGTTCCAATTTACAAATGTTCCTGTTTCTTCTACTTACGCTTTTAAGACTATTATAATTGGTTGACTCCTAAACCGACAAAAACTCATTAAAAACTGAAAATCATGGAATTTAAACAGCTTTTGCTTTAGTTCTAGTCACATCGCTGAAAAAAAAAGATCTTTTTATAACTGTCCTTTTTGTAAGGACGTCATTTTTACCATTGATCAACAGCTGTGATTACGTACTAGAATTGTTTTATTTTATTTTTTTCTCCTTAAATAACTCCTTTTTAGCCCGTTAACTGTCAATTATTGGTCAAGATAAAAAAACGTGCGATTCATGACGCCACTAATGACTATTTTCAGATCATTCAGTTAAGGGGGCGGGCGGGGGGGGGGGGGGGGGGGGGGGGGGGGGGGGGGGGGGGGGGGGGGGGGGGGGGGGGGGGGGGGGGGGGG